TGCCAGCCTATTCATCCTAGTCGCTAGCCTCTCCAAAGCTAACGCCAGCCTATTCATGATAGTTGCTAGCCTCTCCAATGCTAATGCTAGGCTATCCATGCTAATTGCTAGCCTCTCCAATGCTAATGCCAGCTTATTCATGCTAGTCGCTAGCCTCTCCAATGTTAATGCCAGGCTATCCATGCTAATTGCTAGCCTCTCCAATGCTACGCCAGCCTATCCATGCTAGTCGCTAGCCTTTCCAATGCTAACACAAATTAATAGTCTCCTTCTCTACCGGTGCCGGTCTATCATTAATCAGATCAATAGCTGGCTTAGCAAGAAATATAGCCTCGTGTTACAGAGATGTAGCAACTGCTGGTTGTACAATAGTCTCAGTTTTGGCCCTCATACTGCACCATAGCAGTCATCATACACAAACTGTAATAAATGAATTAATAAAAAGATGGATTGCTCATTTAGCCCTTGTGGAAACGCCAGGGAAACCCGGTGATGTGACCTCTATGGACGCAGAGGTTTACCTGGCAAAGTGAAGAATTCCCAGCGTGCTTGAGGGCTGCTAGAGCTCTGTGGAGACCTGACACTGATTTCAACATCTAAAGCAAAATCATAAAAAGTATGAAGGTGCAGGGAAAAGAGGGGATGTGGGAAAGAAAATAAGGAAGGAAGAAAACAATAAACGCTTTATAACACATTTTTGATGAACRCTAATCTACTTTTAGCCTATTTATGAAATTGAAAAAAGGTGGGTGTTTGTGTTTATCTACGCTTTAATAAACTGTGGCTTAATGTTTGATGGCAGATGCTCTGGATGATCAGCACTTTTAATCACAAAAATCAAAATTAAAACCTGCRATGTTGAAAGGCAAAAAGTAAAACAACCAAAACATGCATGGAAAAGAAGCTAGCTCTGCGTCTGGATGGTGAGACATATTTTCACCCYTTTGTTCCAGCGGAGGCTGATCTCCAAACGACTTCGGCGCAGCTGAGTTCGTCTTTGTTTTCAGTAAAGACTCCTGAGAGGAGGAGYCTCCTGCCTACAGGGAAATTAAAGGCTGGATGAATGGCTTTTGATACGGTTATTACAAAATGCTTTTGAATTATCACGGCAGTCTCACCGCAGAGGRGGTCGGCTCATTTTTCAGCGCTTTGGCCTCGGATGGAACGAGGTTGGGAAGATTTTCAGCACCTTCTTGTTCTTGTTTGGCTCCTGGAAATAAATTAAAAAGAAAAACACGCAACAGAAGTTGAAAATGTACTAACATGGTTTTAAAAGATTCTCTAAACATAACATCAGCCTATCTATCTATTGCAAATGCAGTTCCCAGTTCTTACCTACAGGGGGCGACATTTGAGCAGCAGTTTTTGACTTTCCTTCATCCTCTGCAGCATCATCTTGGCTTCCAGTCTTCCTAAAAGTTTCTTCTGGCTTCTGCAGCTCCTATAAGGGCAACAGGTGTTCTTTTGTTAAAAAATACAAATAATAAATAGAAATTAAAGTCTGTAGACAGTGTTGGAGGTGGTGAATATTAGCTTTTCCAACTTGACAACTCCAATTCCGGTGATCTGTGGTCAAATTCTTGGCAATAAAGGGTGGTGACAGTACATTTACAGAAACAGAGATGCTTTTTAAGTTTCAAATAATACATTTTCTGTATTTCTACACATGCTGACARGTGAAGCACAGTGACTGTAATCAAAATAAACATACTGAACTAATGCATCAAGTTTGAGCTTTTAACTCTTCAACAAATCCTCCTTTTCACAAAGTCACACTGATTTATTACATTTTAGTTTGATTTGATGGTTTGAAATAAAGTGCAGTAATAAAAAAAAACATTAAAAGGACGACTTACTTCTGGAAGAGAAGTGGGCCGGCTGGGCGGTGCCGTGTGCTCTGTGATCGTTTCCTCCTGGACGTTTTCAAAAGCTGCCTCTGTGCTGCTTTGTGTGTCRTCGGCCTTCGCTGACCCCGAACTTCCTCTTTCAGAGCAGGTGTGTGAAATCAGCGCAGCTTCTGAAGGATGAGGAGGAGGAGGAGGAGAAGGAGGAGKATCCACGGTGCTGTTCGTATGCGTGGAAGGAGACGCCTGGAAATGTGGAGGGGATTCCCTTTCTGGACTCTCAGGTTTGACGGAAACGTTGTTGGTTTTAATGTTTCCGTTGACTCGGAACAAACCCTCCACCTGCATTAACACCACAGCYTCATCGTTACACACGCCATGCACATTTACAAGAGCTTAGGCTAAAATTAAAAAAAAAAATCAAAGCATCTTTATGTTTTTCTTGCACGGTTCAACCACAAATCTGTATTATTTGTTTTTGTTCGATCAGAAATCACACTTGGAGCTCCTGACTTCTCGTCATTTTTAGCCCATGTTCTGTTAGTTATTAGCAGCAGATCCGCTCCCAACACCCTGCTGGACTCTCTGACAAAGAGGCACTAATATATGTGTGAGCGGTAACTTAAGACACGCCGGTGGAGTTGGGTGAATGCAGGCTCTCAGTCGGCCCCCTCCTCCGCCTCCACCTTCTCGTCCTCCTCCCAGCAGTCTGTGTGGGCTTTCTTTGTCCGCTGGGAGCCCACTTCACATCGAGAGGCTCCTACTTGTCAGCTTCTTAAGTCAAMAGAGAACAGAGGACTCCTTTCAGACTCAGACTCCTGACGAGGAATTCGTGAAAAGTGCTTAGCTCTAGTTGGTCTGATAAGAACGTGTCCTTCCCTTAATCCCACAATAAAACAAGATCTCATTTGGAATATTCTCATTTGAGCTTTTGTTTTTTTGTTTTTCTTTTTACAAGAAGAGAGAGAAATGGATCTCGTTGAGAGCGCTTGGGACCACATGGAAACATTACATGCTTCTTTAGGGAGAAGTCACGAGCTTCCTACACAATGCTCACTCATCACCATGGCAGTTCTGGGGGTATTTTAATGTAAATGCCAAGAGAGCAGTGGGGAAATGACCCACCAGAGGAGCAATCAGCTCTGAGAAGTAACCACAAGTAAAGGAAGAAAGGCCTCCATTATTGTTGAACTAATCAAATTTTAGCCTTTTATTGCTGGGTTGCAGTCAGGTGACCCGGATGATGTGCAAAATTTAGAAGCGGGGCAGGAAGTCATTTGCTCCGTACGTTCAGGATATGATCTGTATCAGCGGTTCCCAAAGTTGGGGTCGGGACTCAAAGTGGGGTCCTGAAACATCAAGGTGGGGTCCTGAAACNCTTTTAATTTGAAAGAAACAAGCAGATTTGGGTGCTCTCACAGGTAATTCCACTCAAAGATAAAACAACTGCATGTGTGTTTACCTCAGCTGGGATAAGTACATGTAACGCAGCGGCCAAAAGGCTGAGCATGTCAGGGAACTCTGACTGTGGTGTGCCTGCACTCCAAATCTGCTCTAAACTTCACACAACCAGGCTCATTTTGCACATATTCTTGCAGAGGAACAAACATCTGAAAACATGAAATGTGTGTGTATGTGTGGGGGGGGACTAGTTTGTACAACATGTGGCGTGACCACAACATAAGATGAGTGTTTGCCACACACGCACACACAGCAGAGCGGCAGTGTGAAGCTCCAGAGCCGACAGCTCTCTTATCTCCGCACACCTGCTCAACCACCCGACGAGCATCTCCGATGCAACCCGGGGAGGGGAGACGCCTCAGATTGCCGCATTTCGGTGATTCCTGCCACCGCCTCGTGACGCCGGCACACGTTGGACCACGTGACGCCAAACTCTCCCACCGTCAGTAGCTGCAGAAGCGTGCCGGAGCCATTTGTCTGTAAGCTGAGGTGTTAACCTTTGACCCGGGGGCGGGGGGGG